AATGTACGAGGCTCAGGCATTCTTGTATGATGCGCAGCTGGGCCTGTCCGTAGGATTTTTTGTCTTCCTCTTGGTGTTGGGTTTGGGCGGTCCAACGGCTCTGGCAGCGAACCCAGCGAGAGACTTTGGGCCTCGCTGTGCTCATTTCTTGCTCCCAATACCAGGGAAAGGCAAGTCCGAATTCTATTATGCGTGGATTCCAATCCTAGCACCATGTTTGGGTGGCTGTGCAGCAGCAGGGTTGTATGCAGCTGTACAAACCATGAACCGCAGCACTGTTTAATAATACATGCATTTACAATGTTATAATACTTCTATTCATGTAACACTAAATCAAGCAACGATTGTGTAAGATACAGAGTATGTTCATTATCAGACAGCTTCACCATGTCGCTGGGGGTGCCCATCAAGGCCGAATCGACCCTGCGGCTTGTTTCACCATGCTCTGATACTCCAAAGTACCCTCCGAAAAAGTCATGAACTTCAATGATGCACAATTTTGTACGATTCAACCATGATGTATCTGCTTCTGGGCCAAAGATGATGCTTTCTGCCCCCTCGATATCCAATTTCACCAAGTCAAAAGAGTCAATGCCATGCATCTCCTGCAGATCGGCAACCGAAAATGCCCGTGACCCTCCTTCTTCCACCTTTTGGAACACTCTTCCCCAGTCTCCATGATCCCCAACAAGTTTTATATTACCACTCTCATTCCATAGACCACCGTGCACAAGATGAACATTCCCAAGCTCTTTTGTATTCCGTTCCAGAATCTTGAAATTGACAGGGTCTGGCTCCACAGACACAATAGTAGCATCAGGGAAAAGCATGCGAAGCATGTACGTGGAAAACCCGGCATTGGCTCCGGCATCCAATATATTCTTTATACCTCCTCGAGCATAGTCGCTGGAAGAGAAGGGGTACAGAATCTTCAGGTAATGGTCTTGAAGTACTTGTCTAAACACCTCCACATCCGTGCTGCCAAATCTGAACCAAAACCTTCTCACACAACACACATCCTCTTCCGCACACGGCACCCCACTGACCTGCACTCTGGTCGCTATTGGCTTTCTATTCTCCTCCATGGATGTCAAGACACTCACAAGGTCAGTTACATTCGTCCCACGAACTCTATCAACAAAGCTAAAACTCCTCAAACCGCTACAGTCTCTCACAAATCTGTGCTCAGATCCCTTATCAATTAATACAGTGCTCAATGTGTCATTTACTGGTACAATATCGACGAATCCATCCGATCCGTGAGGGCCACCTCCGGCCTCTTCGACGGAGCGTTGACCTGAGGCGCGTGTACCGTCGGTGTTGGCCCTTTGTACTACTTTCTGCCTATTACCGACCACAAAACCAATGCATAAGGATGTGAATATTAATGAAAGTGCTTTAAGAGGAATTTTACTGGACAAATGCCGCTTTCTGGGAGATCCCTTCTCACCCGAATTCCACGTAGGGATATTTTGAGTGGAGGAGGTTTTATTCCCAAGGTTAGGAACCATTGTATACCCCATACTATTTATTATTTATTAACTATTCATTTTTACTGAGCAGATTGGTCGGTACTTGGATGAGGTCGGTCGTTGTTGTCATTCCAGTTGATGCATTCGTTGCAGACGACAGTTCTGGGAGCTGGACAGCCTCCTTCTTCAAGATGGACCTGATATCTGCTGGGGACAATGTGGGGTCTTGTTGCAGCAGCAATGCAATGATGCCTGTGGCAATGGGAGCTGCCTGCGATGTGCCACTAAATACTGCTGTGCTGTCGTCAGCTTGGTTGCTGGCGGAGAGAATCATATCACCAGGCGCCCAGAAATCGACACATGGACCCACATTTGAAAAGTCTGCTGGCAGGTCTCCTATATTCGTTGCTGAGATGACGAGCGTTTCTGGTGTCCGAGAGGGGGAATTAAAACATGCATCTGCTTGAAAGTCGTTTCCAGAGGCGGCTACGATTGGAATATTCAGGTCATGCTGCATCTTCTCGACAGCAGAGTCGATGGCAATGCTGTCCTTGGACCCTACGCTCATGCTGAGGACTGCGGGTGGCTGATGGCCATATTCCTGGGTGCGATGCTGAAGATCGTCATACGCCCACTCGAGCCCAGCGAGCAAGGTGCTCACGGAGCCTGATCCGCTGGATCCTATGATCTTAATGGGTATGATTTGAGCACCTTTTGCTACTCCATAACAGCCCCCTGCGGCAATACCACTGATGTGGGTCCCATGTCCGTTTTCATCACTGATATTTGGTGACGTCACACAGGACAAGTCGAACGATCCACTCATGAGTGAATCCAAAGCAGGTTTGATACAGTCAGCCCCGTCACCTGTCCGACCCGTAAATTCTTTGTGTGTTTTACGAATACCAGTGTCCAAAATGTATATCAAGACCCCTGAACCGGTAGCATTGGCTCTAAATTGTCCATTCAGTGGCAGACGAGGTTGATCAATTCTATCCAAATTCCATGGGACAAATTGGCATGATGACTGCTCTGTATCTACCTCTTGAAGCTGCACGTCGGTATCGACCTCGAAAATTTTTACCGTTTTTACTAGAGAAGATCTCATCTCTTCTAGGGACGCTAAAGATGAGACATTGATGGTCACGAATGGCCACGATGAGTCTACGAAACCGCCTGAATTTGCTTTACACCTTCCACCTCCTTGTTCCTCCAGTTCCAAGCAGAATGATTCCAAATCCTGTCGAGAGGCTGATGGAAATAGCTGACCAATCACCAATCTATTTGAGAAAGACTCTGAGCTCTTTAACGGTTTGTCAGTGGATGATGGCCAGTAGAGTGGAACCTTTCCACCCACAGTTTCTTTGAGATCAATGTTTTGTTCCTCCAAAGAAAGTATGGAGATGCTCTGAATTCTCGTAGAATATCCAGTACCAGATACATCTTTAAAAATAATTTGATTCCACTCAAATGCATCCGTCAGATTTAATTGGATGCGACACAATCCAGTCATGGGATCAAACATGTTTGCCATGGTGTCCCGTACCTTGACTGGATCACTCCTGATTCCTGTTTCATCTTCCTCCACGAAAAACAAGGACCGCTGAAACCCGCAATCAAGAGAAATAATCTCAAGGGTTGTTTGACAGGGTTGGTCTGAAAGCGACGGACAGCATCGTGTGCCACAGCCATCAACAACTGAAACCTTGTCTCCCAAGAGACGAAATTCTCTACCTCTTTGGACATGTACATACAGAGAGTCCTGCTCTATCGTGGCATTGAACCCTTCACCCGACATTTCCCAACCATTTTGAAGTACCTCGTCTCCAGATGTATAGATGAAGTGTCGGTTTCCCTGATCATCCACGCGCAGCTGTCGAGCTGCAGCAATAGATGACATGATGCAGCACAAGAGAAGACTGTGTGCATATGTCCCCATCCTCATAATGAATTATACAAGAATACATACATAAATAATTTTTTGATACCCAGGTACGGGCCTGATACAGAACGATGAAAGAGAAAGGGGTCACATCGGTACTACAAACTCAACTACTCATGCTAGAGGCGTGCCAGGGCATCTTTGATGGCTCTTCTAAATTCGTCATGATGTAACACAAAACTGCTCACGTGGCCTCCAGGCACCCATCGCAGTTCTGATCCTTTTAAAAATTTGTGCATTTCATCCACGGATTCCCTCGAGACGTATGCATCCTCTGTTGCTGCAACAATAACGCAAGCATCAGGACGGCGTGGCACTGGAAATCTGGTCACATCCGTGTATGTTTCCAAGACCACTTCCAGCAATGCTACTGACTCTTGAAACTCTAACTCGCTACCATGTGCCGCATCACGTGCCAATAGCTTGGCCATCTGATCACTAAACCCTTTGCTCCAATTAGCCAACCAGTTCCCAGTGGCCTTCATCATTCTCTCATTCTTGTTCACCACCGCCCTCGATGCAGAAATTCTACTGCTCGATCTACTTTCTCTATTGACAGCCTCTAAGAGCTCATCAGACCGCTCCTTGGCATCACGCATCAGCGCGTTCCACCCAGTAGCATGGAAGAGAGCCCCGCTCACGTATGCTGAAGCAGCTGATCGTGGCGCCAATAACGGTGCCAAGGCGACGTCACCCGGGTATAGAGATGAAATCATACAAGAGTGCACCCCACCCATTGACAGACCTGACACGCCAAGCTTTGTTTCATCCCCCTCATTCTGCCTCAGCCAGTACAACAAGAACAATGCCTCTTCAATAGTTGCTCTACCAAGGAGAAGCAAATCGCTCACGAAACGCAGCTTTGCACCCTGTTGGTATGAAGGTTTTCGAAGGCCATAATATGGACTTTCCAAGATCACCGAACCAATCCCATGTTCTCGTGCAAGCGGCACTGCAAGCAGTGTCTCCCTCCGAGAAAACCCATGGTCCCCTGTAGCTGCCAGGTGCACCACCGTCGGATTACCGCTCAAGTCCCTACTATTTGGCCGTATCCACCTTACATGAACGGTTCTAGATTCTACCGGCAACGCATCATACGCTGTCCCCGTACAAGGCGTTTTGAACTTGCCATGAAAAATACTAAAACCATCACCCTTCTTCTCCCTTTTCCAATCTATTGACACCTCATCAAAGTGGGACGGAGGCCAATGATCGAATCTCTGAACATCCTCATGAAAATTGACCACGTTTAAATCTCCGAAACCACCCTGCTGGAAAAACCGTTGGGTGATTCCTAGCTGATGGACAATGGCAGTGTACGCAATGTCCAGCGAACGACCCGTCGTTTCAGCTAATCGCTTTATTATCTCCACATTGTTGTTGTTTTCTTTCTTTTCCACGGCAACGCTGGTGTGGAATTGCAAGACAACGCCACCAATGCTGCCGTGGCATGTTAGTTGCGATAAGATGACTTGAGCACGTGTGCTCAAGTCTTTTAATGGTCGTCCTCTTGCGAGCAGCATAAAATATTTATATATAAATGTCTGCACGAATCTGCCGATCAGGAGAAAAGGAAAAATATTGACTGCATCAAGCAGGATTCGAACCTACGCTCTTTCGAACCAGTGATTTCACCGCCGATCGCGACGGAAGACATCGGTATGTCTTGAAACTGGCGCCTTAACCGCTCGGCCATTGATGCGACAGATTATTGTCAATTTTTAGCAGAATATATCACTCAAATTTTGGGTGCAGGCGTTTTTCGCAATTTCAAGGCTCGGATGAGCACATATGTTCTCTATTCCTGTTTCAAACCTATTAAAAAATTAAAATTAAAATTAAAATTTTGAGGGGTATGACGTGCTTACGATGGACATATCACGGTGGAGGCTTTTGATTTACAAAATTCGTGGTACAACAAAAAAAGAATTGGTAGTAGTAATAAAAAAGAAGAGCCTGTAGAATACAAAAGAATCTGCTGCTGTCATGATATATCCTGGCAGTAGAATCTCCTCAGTACCATTCGCAGACCAATACTGAGGAGATACAAGACACACAACACACACACCACCTCCAGGGTGATATGCACCAGCCAGGTGGTCTCATTTCTTGAAATTTGGCCATCATCACGACTACTATATTCGCTTCTATACAGATGAGCTGCCTCATCTGCTGTATATTGGTATGCTGCAATATCAGAGGATGGGTCAATCTTCACAATGACTACCTCCTTCGCTGGCTGTTTCTTCTTTCCTTTTGGTTTCTCTAGGACGGGTACTGAGTGAACCATTGGCCTGAAAAAGTGCCAATACCGCCTGTTCCATTCACAGTTCGGCTGCAGGAGCATGTGAGTGAAGGTTCGCCCATGTTCATCGCCCAACGAGTACTTGGCCTGAGAGGTTCTGTGGATGAAGGCAATTGACCCATCGTCAGGATGGTGTTGAATAAATCCTTGCGGCATGCTGGACCTAAAGAATCCTCGATACGACAGTCCAACTGAGAGGGGCTGTTGCACCAGGACATACTGATCTTCCTTGCCTGCCATATAAAATGCCGCACGGTAGGTATCCTTATCTCCATGGGCATATCTATACGTAAATTCATCATGCGTGTTCAGGAACAACAGCCACTCCAGCACATCTGGATGCCTGGTCTTGTCAAACAAAAACTGACCACTGTCAGTCTGATACTGCTGCTGCTGCTGCCCCATTCCCAACATGGAAAACAATTTCACACGCGTGCACCATCTATCCGGCCAAAACATATTTCCCTTCTTCACAAAATCTGGGTGACGAAACAGACCCTCTGGGTCTTGGGCTGCCATGGCATCGCTGTCCATCAAGACAACTTGGTCATATGGAGAAGCATACAGAGCAAACACCTTGATCTTGAATCCATTCCAAAAGGAACTGCCATCAGGATTCGGTGGCACCAGCCACCTATGATGCCTCGGATACGCCAACGTCGACAGATCCAAAAACGACACGGATGGCGAATCCATATGTCGGTCAAACAAGGTATGGTTCTTCACCTTTTCCAGGTCCCCCCAGTACGCAATGGTCACGGGCAATCGACACCCGATGCGATGCCTCAGCACATACAAATTCACAAACGCATTCAGCATCTGATTCTTTCCACCGGCAGGTATCAGGATTCCCCTCGTCTTTTTTAATTTATTCTTGTCTCCACCATGCCAGCCAGCATGGTCAGGAAAAGACGATGCCAGCTGCTGCTCCATAACCTTTTGATCCCCCACAAACGCCCTATACACTCCGCTCGATAATCCATTCCACTCCATCAACGCCCGATAGGTTTCAGCACCTCGCAGTGCAATAGCTGAGAACTCTCTGTACCCACACCACAGTGTCACCAAGAGGGTCACCACAAAAATCAGAGGAGCCTTATTCCCCACCATCGTCAGTATCTTATTAAACAGTGGCCTTGTTTCATTTCTTCGTTTCGATTTCATACATTCATCATCAGTGCTACGGTCCATCGATACAATGTCGCCTACTCGTGTACTAGGACAACTGATCGGCGACGAGCGCCCACTACTGCTGCTACTATTCATCTATTTCTCTTCTTTATTGTTAATACAACAATAATATCCCATATACATGCCGAGGACGGACAGTCTGGAGTACATCTGATTACCCTTGAGTGGGTCGTTGGAACAAATTCACTTCAGGGTGTTACAACATCCTGTTTCAGTGGCCACGAATGGAAAAAGAATTCATTCTGTATTCAGACATACAGGTATGGTCTGATCAACGTTTGTGTTGGAGGGGGTATCAACGCATGCGCGTAGCGTCATCTTGTACTGCCAAGACAGGTCGGTCAGGTCAATGCCGGGACCGGATTGAATACCTTGGCAGGCATGGAGACCATCTCCTTGCTTGACAAAGATTCCTTGGTACCATGATAGATTCCTTGATACAGGAGACATGAGACAATGTCACATCCAATGTTCGACTCGAATTACACACATATGATGGCACAAAAATACATGTATTAGGCCAGGCTTTGATCGAACTGGAACACGCCCAAGCCCTTGCCAACCCTCCTCAACTGAGACACTTTTTCAGCCATCTCGTACACAGAGTCTGCCTGATCCGCCAACAGCGATCCTTCCACGAAATCACACATCTGGGCGTCACCATGTTTGTCCGCAATATCGTGCAATTCACGCAACTTTTGGAAATTGAGCTTTTCCAGAGACAGGGCGAGCTCAAAGGCGTACAGGGCATCCCCCTTGTCTCCATGATCAAAATCCGTGTGAGGAGGCAAGATACTCTGAAGCGATACGCGCCCTCCCCTCTTGATCTGATAGTCCATCAACAGCTCGGCGTGGCTCCTCTCCTCCGCAGACTCCTTCTTGAAGAGCTCTGCAATCCCTGGGAGCCCCACATTGTCCCTCGCAAAGTAGGTGTACATGGCATGGTACACATAACTCACATTATACTCGACATTAATCTGCTCATTGATGGCAGCCTCGCACTCTGGATGAAAATCAGTGCGAGCATATGACTCGTTCAATGGAGCCTTGTCCACGACAGCCAGCTCGCTCTCCACGGCAGAAAATGGCTCAAAGACCACCCCAGTCATGCTTGCTGCGTCCTGTTTCCCACTCGCAGGGCACCACACACACACCCTGCATTGCCAATCAAAGTGAACTATGACGCAACCATATGTGTTTATGAAATATATCCCATCACACGTACCTGGATGGTCTGCTCGTGTTTGTCACGAGGCCTCGACCACGTTGTTGATGCCCAATGGAGGCAATTCTACTCGTAGACACCCTTGTTCCACACGACATCCTGATACAAATGAATGAATTGATCAATAAATATACAATATTCGCTGTCGATGTTCTGCGGTTGGACAGATGTACCATCAACAGGTTTGCTTTTTTTTTTTCCCTCTCTTCCTCCATCTCCGGAGATGGAGATCAAGGATCCTTGATACACACACCGTGTGTCACGCGTACGCCCTGCGCATGCACATGCGTGTCTCTCATCACAGGATGAATGGAATCTCTCCTGGTGAGACGCATGCATTCCTCTCCCTCCGGTGGGGGAATCTCTCTCCCTCTGGGGAGGGAGGAGATGCCAAATGTACATTTTTGGTGGCATCTCGCCCTTCACACTGCAACGTCGACCGGTGCATTGGACGTGTGTATGCCTATGTGACGTCATACAGTCATGTGTGCAGATATTGCGAAAAAGAAAGAATGTTTTGTTGTGCTCATTTATTGACACGAGGATCATCATCGCAAGTCCGTGTTGTTCTTGGAAAACAACCAGGTGCTGGGGGCACGATCAACACCAGTAGACGAGTTGGGGTTCCTTTCACAGCGACAGTGCGTGTTTTTCAAAGTAGAAGAAGAGTTATGGAACAGACAAAGGATCAGTTCGCAGAGCACATGGGCATGGGTGGGGCAACGGAGGAGGAGGTCAAGTCCACAGTGCAGCAGTATTATGGGCAGGAATTGAAGACGACCGAGGATTTGAAGACATCGGCGTGTTGTACGGCCAAGCCTCCTTCTCCAGTTGTGAGGGATATTTTGAAAAGGGTACCGGACGAGGTTGTGGCCAAGTATTATGGGTGTGGTTCTCCATTTCCTGTGGGGATTGGTGGGTTGAGGGTGTTGGACTTGGGAAGTGGCAGTGGGCGTGACTGCTATGTGTGTGCGGGTCTTGTGGGGGAGAGTGGGAGTGTTGTGGGTGTGGATATGACGCGGGAGCAGTTGGATGTGGCGGAGGCGTATGCAGAAACGTTCTGTAAGGAGACGCTTGGGTATGCTGCGACAAATCTGCGGTTTGTGGAGGGAGAGATTGAAAATCTTGAAAAGGCAGGGATCGAAGATAACAGTATTGATCTGATCATCTCGAATTGTGTGGTGAATTTGTCGCCGAATAAAGAAGCTGTGTTGAAGGAGGCGTACAGGGTGTTGGCTCAGGGAGGTGAAATGTTCTTCTCTGATGTGTACTGCGACAGGAGGCTTCCTGCCGAAGCTCGAAGGCACCCAGTGTTGGTGGGAGAGTGCTTGGGAGGGGCCCTGTATGAGCAGGACTTCTTGAGGCTTGCTCGCTCTGTGGGTTTTACAGACCCCAGAATGTTTGCTGCTCCAGAGGTGATTGAGGTGAAGGATACAGTGTTGAAGGATATTTTGGGGGAGGCGACGTTCTATTCCATCACGTATAGGTTGTTCAAATTGCCCGGTCGCTTGGAGACGTTGTGCGAGGATTACGGGCAGGCAGCGAGGTACAAGGGGACCATGGAGGGTGCCCCTCATGCTTGCGTGTTGGATGATCACCACGTATTTGAGACCGGGAAGTGGTACGAAGTATGCGGAAATACCGCGTCCATGGTCGGAGAGAGCTGGATGGGGAAGCATTTTGAGATTATAGGGGATAGAAGTAGGCATTATGGATTGTTTGGAGGATGCGGGGATGCGCCTTCCTCCACTCCAAAGGATGCCGAGACGGGTGGAGGAGGTTGCTGTTGATTGCCCAGCATGGCTTTTTTGCAACTATAATATCAAAGATGTATTAACTTGCTTACATGTTAAAGTAACCTGTCTTACTCCTCCTGTCTGTCCGACAAGATGGTGGCAATTTTCTGCAACCACACCGTCTTGCTCTCCTTGTCAAGTGGCCACAGATGGTTGCCATCAATCATGTCGATCTGAAAAGTGCG